ATGTCTTTTTTCTACATATACTGGATACCACATCAGATAGTATTGTATCTTTTGTTTCAAACATGATTTTTTTTTTTTTTTGAGAGGTTTTTACTATAGGGCATGTGTGCTCGCCAGAAAGACAGAGAGAGACAGAGAGATAGAAAGTGAGAAATCACTCCCCGGGGGGATGGCCACACGCAATCCCTTCTCTTCCATTCACCTCTCAGGATCCTGGGCACACATGCACAGGTGCCCAGCGTTAGTTTAAGCCACCAGGTCCGGGACTCAAACCGCGGTCGACTACATGGGAATCCAGCGACATTATGCTAACTGCTGCTCTCTCGATCATAAAACTTGATAAAAGAAACTTTTAAGTTGAACTGTAGTCTATACTGTCTGCTTTTTGTAGAGAGATTTTTGCTATGTCTGCTTTAATTTTTCCCCTTTTTTTTCTTTTTTTCTTGAGGGTATACAACTTTTTGTTATTGTTGAGATTTCATTTTTTGTTTTGACAACTCCATTTAGCCATTCTTCAAGAGACAATCTGCTAGTGACAAATATTTCTATTTCCTTTCATCTAAGAATACCTCTATCTCCTCTATATTTCTGAAGTATAGTTTTACTGATATAGGATTCATTGTTAACAATTCTTTCCTTTTAGCATTTAAAAATGACATACTTCTCTCTTCTCGCTTCCATGGCTTCTTTTGAGAAATTAAATTAATTCAAATTTGATACATGATGTATTTCATATCTCTGGCTATTTAAAAGCTTTTTCCTCCTTAGTTATGAAGTCTGAACTTCTTTAGATTTATTCTATTGTTTTCTCAGCTTCTTGAAGCTATAGATTGGTATCTTGCATCATATTTCAAAGCTTTTATCCATTTTTTCCCTACTTTTTTCAGTTCCACACTTTCCTCCATTCCTTTTGGGATGCTGATGTACAATGTTAGATCTTTTATTATCATTCTACATATTCCTGTGACTCTGTTTTTTTTATCTATTTTTTCTCTAATCAGATGGAGTGACATCTATAGATTTGTATTTGAGTCCACTGATTCTATCTTCTGTCACCTCCACCTTACTGTTAAGATCCTCCAGTGAAATTTTGTTTAAACGTCAATTACTGTAATTTTTAGCTCTATATTTTTTCTATATTTTATTTGTCCCGAAAGATTTTAACTAATTGTTGAAGTATTATTATGATGTTTGATTTAAATTTTTTGTCAGATATCATCAATTCTGAATTATAATCATGTGATAGTGACATGAGTTGACAGTGTTTTCACTTAGATTTCCTGGGTTTGGGTATGCAAAAAGTTTTTCATACCCCCAAATACCAGAAACCCTGTAGTCATAGTAGTTATTAGATAAGGAGACTTGATTCTCTTTAAGTATTATATTTTATCAGATAATCACCTCATGTAGGGTTTGAACAGAGGTTTGTTCTACTCATGTGGATTTTGTCCCCAGTTGGGTCATTGCAATGCTGTTCAGCTGTGTTTTACTCCACAGGTGCTGTTAGGGCTCCTACTCAGTGCCTGCTGGTGTCCTTCGAGTGCATATAGCTTCTTGCTGTACCTGGGTCATGATGGTTTTAGTTTGATTATAGTCAAATAGAGCAAAGCTGTGGAATGAGAGAAGACATTTCCAACACATATTACCAATCAGGGACTAATGGCCAGAACATATGAAGAATTCCTATAACTTGATTAAGAAACAGGCAAACTAATTTTAAAAGTGAACAAAGGAGAATAGACAACTTCAAGTAGAAAACTAACATGCTTGAAAAGCTGTTTGTAAAATGCACTGGAAATCAAGGAAATGCAAATTTAGGTAATAATGAGATACTAATTTGCATCCGGCATACAAAGATAAATTGTCTTAGAATATCAAGTGTAGGTATGTTATGTAGATTCCGCTTAGACATAGAAAAATTTAATCTTTCTAATGTAGTGTGAATTCATAGAACCTAAGTTTCACTACACAAAGCATAGTAACTATTTTCAGTCTAATACCAAATGACTATACAGCTGAACACTTGGAAGAAATTGAACATATGATTTTAAATTGCACTTAACCAATTATTTTTGTTTATTTGCTATTGGGTGCATGCACTCAGCATAGAGAGACACAAAACGATAGAGAAAAGGAAAAGTGAGAAATCATCCCCCAAGGGGTATGGCCACATTACAATCCCCTCTCCTCCATTGTCCTCTTGGGATTTGGGGCACACATGCCCACACACCCAGCATGATTTTCAAGTCCTCAGGTCCTGGACTTGCACTGTGCAGGTGGCCATGTGAGATCCAGCTGCCTTAACCTCTACGCCACCAGTTGCCCCTCCACTTAAATTCTTGCTTACTAAAGGTTGCCTTTATAACATTTCCAAATATATGGTTGCCATGCTTTTCCTTTCTTTTGAATGCAAACTAAATTTTTAGCAGTTGAACAATGAAAAACAAGATTATTTTATTATACTTCTATGTGTCTGAAAAATTATGATAATAAAAGAGTAAGAAGAAATTAACAGAATTAGATTTGGGAAAAACACTGACAAGAGTGGATATTTATTAAGGAAATACTGGAAGCTGGCTAGTTAAGTTGTCATATGGTTGAAAGAGAGATGAAGAAAGAGCAAAAGCTAGGACTTGGGGATGTGCTTCAACGGACAGCTGAATGTGGCTGACGGAAATCCCAGGACACAAGGCCTGGAAGAGGTACAGTAGTCATACAACTGACTCACACAGAAAAGGCCCTAGGTTTGCATCCTGGGACCTCTCTGAGCATGCCTGGGTCAGGAGAAGGGAGACTTATGTAGTGCCCGTGATCTGCATCAGCCAAGACTGGGTGTGGATGGTGGCATCAAAACCCTCTTTTGGGTACCTCTCTCTCTCACACATAGAATAAATAAATACATTTTAAAAGAAAAACGAAATTCAGGTCACAGCCTTTAGATCACAACTCTCAAGAAGTTAGAGGATGTATGTTATCTTGGCTGTCCAGGAAGGAAACCAGTGATTCGATCTGCCTTACAAGTGACCAGAATAGATGCTCGATTTCTTAAGCAACATGGAAAAAAAATCTTTATGCTCAGAAAGAAACAGTTTCTCTTATACTCAGAAAGAAACAGTTTCTTAAAGTAAGCACGCAGGTCCTGAAATCTTATACCATGTATCTTACGCCATGTTAAATGACTAATAGTAGCAATATCCCAAGTGCGAAGTGTTCTATGGTACTTGAAAGAAATATGAGGGGTCTTCAAAAAGTTCATAGAAAATGCATAATATGGGAACCAGCAGTTAGCGTAATGGCTATGTCGCTGGACTCCCACGTAGTCGACCGCGGTTCGCATCCTGGACCCGGTGGCTTAAAACTCACGCCGGGCATGTGTGCGTGCGTGCCCAAGATCCTGAGAGGAGAATGGAGGAGAAGGGATTGCGGCGTGACCATCCCCCCTGGGGGGTGATTTCTTGCTTTCTGTCTCTATGTCTCTCTTTGTGTGTCTGGCGAGCGCATGTGCCCTATAGCAAAAACCTCTCAAAAAAAAAAAAAAAAAAAAAGCAATTTATAAAAAAAACAAAAAAGAAAATGCATATTATGAAAAAAGCTATAAATGAATTTCAAATTGTTTTTTCACTATAATAAACTCGTACTTTAATTTCTTCCATGATCCTTTTGAAGTCCCTTTGTATGCCGTTACTGTTCTTAAACATATATTAGAGTGGATTATGCTTTGGGCTAAAATTATCTCTGGACTTTCAAACATCTCAATTGACGTCATAAGTTGGAAAATGGCAGGAAACTGAAGGAAATAGTTCCTGCTTCTGCTTTGGTATAACCTACATTTTCAAAAGTCCATAGTATCCTGTTCCTTTGCAGAGAGAGAAAGGAAAGGCATTTCAGAGCAAGGATGTTGATACTCTTTAGGAAGTGGCTATGGGTCACAGGCGTTTCCCTGACTTGATGGGTAACACGCACCTCTATGTCTAAGTGGGAGAAAAGCTCTAGTTAAAGAGGAACAGGAGCTTCTGGTGCCACACTTAAAACTGCAGGGCAAGTTAGTAACTAAGCAAATTTGAATTAGAGCTAATCTTCAAGGGTTTTCTTACTTTTTCTTTTGGTCCAAACCTAAAGTAATTTGCACCTTAAAAACAGAAGGCAAAGGCAAAAGCTGTTCAAAGAACAGGGGAGAAAAGATCTTTTTCGTTGAGGTTAGAGTGCAGGTACCTTCTTAAAGGGCTGGAACAATCACTGTACTCAGGCTTGTTGCTAAGGTCACCGTGAAAAGTTAAGTCATGGGCTAGGAGAGACTGGGAGAAGGTATTTGCAATGTATATTACTCCAAAGGATGAACGGCCAGGGTGTTTTAAAAATTACTACAAATAGAAAAAAAAAAGGCAAATTAATTTTAAAATGGGCAAAGATTCATTGGTGGCTTTGGAGGAGAAGGAAAATATGCTTGTGCCAAGCTTGCTGGAAAAAGATGACAGGAGTGGGTGCAGAGATCCATGTGTCTGTGCCCATGCCACGGAACTGGCACAGCACAGTGCCCAAGACCTGGAGAGCACGTGGGAGATGCAGCCCTGTGTGGGCTAAAGCTCATCCCACCAGACCAGGGCTGGCCCAGCTCCTGCACTGCAGAGGCAGGGTGCTCTTGCTCTCTCTGATCCCATTCTCAAGGCCACCACTGCAGGAACAATTTAAACAAGATCTAAATGATGACAGAGAAAGTGCTAATGTGGATCTTGCTTAGCCTATTCTCTGACTCAGATAATCTGACTCCTGCCAACTAGGAATTGTGCCTCCTTAGTGCCCTAATAGTTAAGGTTAGATCAAACACATTCCAGAAGTCAGAATTCAGCACTGAAGTTCAGCAGCTTGGAAACAGAGAGAGCTGGACTGGAGACCTGATCTATCACACCACCTCATCTTTGACACATATCCCAAACATACAGAATGTTATGGGAAGAAATGCAAAAGTGTGCATGAAAAGTGCCTTCTGAAATCACCAACACTCTTTTCCAAGATAAAACTTTATTTGAGGCAACAAGCAATATACTAAAAGATATGAGTCATGCACAAGTAACGTCCTTGTTTCCATAATTGTACATCTGATACTCTCTGCCTCTTAAAAGGGGTGTGTAGTGAGCGAAGATGAGAAACACACATGCTTCTACACATAACCCTATCTACATAGTGCTTAAGAAAATCTCCTTTCAATTTTACTTTTCCTTCTTTAAAATGCACGTTGCTTTTATCTGAGAGAACTGAAACAAACCAGCTCATTCACTGAGGATAAAGTTTCTCCCCAGAGGTATTTATGAAATAATGCAGCTGCCTTTTTCTTTAAAGGGATTTTTGTCTTCCGGAATTCCCTTCACCAGGGGATCCTCTCCAGAACGTTCTTCAATATAGTTCTTTATTTCTTCAGAACATTTAGACACCTGAAATATGGGGAAAGAAAAAGAAAAAGAATGAATTAGATAAGGGCTACTCAAATGTTGTCATCAGTCTTTAGTGAAACTCATATAATTGAATACAATCAGCATTTAAATTTTTAAAAATTAAGTATA